GTAGTGGTGGTGTTGGCGGCGGCGGTAGTGACGGCTTCGATGTAAATCCGGGCGTGGGGAACCGGTGTTGGTTGGTGGGCATTGTGCGAACATTCTCTTTCGGGCTGTGAAAAAAACGTGGGTGCTTATATTTAACACGGTTAGCAGACAGGCAATCGTGACATTTGTCAGAACACATTCAGTCCAATAAAACTGCTTGGTCTGTAGCAACTTTGGACTTATAACCGGAAAGTCAAACTGAATGCGGATATATGAGAGTGACATCATGCCGCTATACAGCGATACCGACAGTAGGGCATTTTACATGCAACACAACCAGACATTATCAATCTTTGGTCACGATTCAATTCAGATTGAGTTCATTCGCATGTGAAAGTTGCAGTGAAACAGTCAATGACATACTACAGAAACAAATCCCGTTTCATTCCTGTCAGTACGAGGCGTGTTGCAAATCTGGGGAATAGTCCTCAGGTCAACAGTCAGGCAAAAAGAAACGAATTACTAAATTATAAAACAATGGATGAGTAAACTGGTAAGCCTAAGAGAACGGTCACGTGACTCCATTTCGTCTGCGTCTGACTCGTGGATCGATATGACGCGCCACGGTAACCAGTAAAAGAAAGACACTACGGATAAAACAGGTTAGTGTACAATAAAATTCACTTATCTTGATTTTTGATAATTGCTTTGCTCGCTCTCAGTGTGAATGCAGTGGAACAGGCGATTGACAGTAACGGCAAATTAAATGCTCTTGCAGAACTAACTTTCTTTCCTCCAGAAAATGTACATGCATATATGCATGATGAAAAAAATAAATTAAATGTTTTCTGTTTTTGAGTAACCCACGTTCAACCTCAGTTAATTCGAGAAATTCTCGCTGGCATATTTATTCTCCAATGATGTTGCAGGCCAAACTCACCGATGGATGTTCATCCATTGGATATTAGGGAGCTAATTGTCATGTTGATCTTATTCTGAAGTCCATCGGACGAACCATAATCCTCAGAGGATTGTTAACTTTCCATCCGCCGATTAACCGTCAGCATGGACTCCAATCTCGTCGATGGCCCTAATCATTTTGCGACTGGAACACAAGAAAACCTCTAACTTTTTAGCGCAAAATAGATTTCGATTATTTGTCAAATTTAAAACTGGTGTTGTGTTTCCCTCTTTTCTTGAATCACATTCCGTTCATTCTGTATTTGGGAGATTTTATTCAAAAATGTACTAGTTGCAATAGTTTTCTTGGTAACTAATCACCGGAAAGCTTCATACTGACAGCAAGCACTTTCCTTTTCACCGCTTCCAATCGGAACATGAAAAGGTGAGAAGCACAGTGATGAATGCTTTCTATTCCATCCAGTGTCGCCTTCTTTTTCGGTTCGACCTGCATGACATTTTCAACTCGATCAACTTCTTTTTAGCGAAGCACTTATTTTTTTAATTAAAAAGAACGAAACAAAAATTATGTGACCACCTGAAATTCCTCACCCACGTGTACTGGTATTAGTTGACGGGTGTGGCCCGCAAACCACGTATTAGCAACTCAAATGCAAAATGGGGTTGTCCAATTTCGTCACGTCGTCCGTCAAAGCCCTACAGATTTGTGATAAATCACTTTGATCCGTAAAGCGCAAAACTGAACGATGTCATCAATCATCATCTTTTTCTCTCGCACTCTGCCGCGTCGCATCGCGTCGCGTCGCATCGCAAGATCTTCTCTCGCTGTCACGTAGTCGCACACAGACATGCTCGACTTGCTGGTCCAGGACGTCTTGCCTCCAGCAGAAGTAAAACACAAACACAGAGCGAACGCACTCGACAGAATGAATTGAATTGTCCCCTTGAAAGTGACCGATTGTTCTGCCCGGGGCTGAATTAAAATGTCAACCGACACGTCACATGTTGTTGTTGTTGTTGAATGCATTCTACTGGTTTTTGACACGGCACAGCTGAAAGAAGGGAAATTTCGACGGCCATTCGAAGAGAACGACCAACACCCGTACCGGTGTCTCCACCACGCGATACAGTCACCTCAAACCACTGGTGTTGATTACAACACTGGCTGCCAATATCCTGGCCACTGACAACAGCACAACCGGCGACACGCAAGAACGCGCTAGATTTTAGAACTCCCACCGCCGGCATTAGCGGTCTGCAATAACAATAACAACCAGGCCAGTTAATGCGGAAAGCCCAACATTTTGGCGTAAACCTTTTTCCGTTCAAAAAGCACATTTTCAGACCTTTGCTGGGTTCATCTCTGTAGGCCAGCTTACAGTTAAAATTAGAATAGTTGGTATTGCAGTTTCCGAAGCCCTTTGATTCATTCTGATTTCATTTCTGTTGAAAACAAAAGCACAACAATAAACTCTAGAGCCTATTTGGAAGTAGACGATCCCAGCTGGTTCACACAGTGGTAACACACACGCTTTCCATGCGATTGGTCCACAGTTCAAAGATCGAACGGGACGGCGGATATTCAATACTGATGAGGTCTGATAAGAGCAGCATTCAAGCCTACAGCCTCTCAGTGTGTGACTGACCAACGGAGAACAGAGCAATGTGCGTGAAGGTGAAGTCTGAAGAATAGTCAATTCACATAAGGATCTAAGCTCTATGCGTGATTTCAAATTCAAATGATGCATTTCATTGCACAGTCATCACCTGTTTCTTTTTAATGACCACAGAACGAGTGCAGTTGCAGTTAGATGCACGCACTTCAATTATTTCTCCTGCAAGAAACATATTGTTATGCGTCCCTAGTTTCCATCTTAAGTTATTTGACTTCTGCGCCCAAATCTCTTGAGAACTTCTAAGAAGGATGTGATAAAAAAAGTCTATTTACCTCATTGTTATTCATTGATTATAAAAATCTACAATTAACCTTCGGGAAGGGATCCGGTTCCATGCAAAGGCTGCATGGTAAAATACGTAAATGGGAGAGATCGACACTGGTGGAACCGCTTGAACCCGGGACTTCCGGGTCATGACCACAGAGATCACACACAGTGTCCCGAACAGACATACTACGCGTCATCATTGTGCGTAACAACGAATAAGTTTGTGTCGTAGGATATAGAATATTACAGATAATTAAAAAGTTTTAGTTTTTTTTTGTCCGACAGCACACAGAAGAGGATTGATCTGCACTCACGCGTAGGGACCTTAAATTTTAAAGGCCAACAATACTTAGGATTTTATAAAAACAAACACGAGGATAAACTTTGCAACCTGATTATTTGTTGTCTTTATGAATAAATTTAACATAACTGTGGTCAAGCACAGAAATTGAAAATAAAATTCCATATATAGCCTTGAAAGAATAAAACTCACATAGTAGAAAAAAAAAAGAAAACTCAAAATGACAACAGAGAAGGATCATTATTGTTGAAGGAACGCTGTAGAAACACAAGAGATCATAGAAGATCACCTAAACATAAAATTAAATATGGATTGAAAACTCTCTTCAGCAAACAGAAATGCCCGATTGATCACTAAGAACAATCGTAGCCTATTTCTATTCGAATGAGGTGCTGAGTAACACATGTTTGACTGAGAACACTGTGTATTGTACATGCAAGAACATGGCGTACTCTTGAGTTACTCATCGTTCACCTTACACTCATGATTGACCGATTAGCTGATGCTTCAATTCAACTTTGCATTTATTCATTGGTCTGGCTTTTTCTTACAACACTTTTTATAACGGTCATTTGGGTATGTATTTGGTTGACTGGTGAAGAAAACTGTTAGAGAGGGAGGGCGTTACTGAAAGCAGTACCAAGAAGGCAATCGGAATCTGAATACTTTATGTGTGTGAAAGGTGAGCAGAGAAAAGCAACCGCGCTTTTCAGCATTCATATACAACACTGTCTCTTTCTCAACATCGAATAGACGCGTCATATGATCCTCAGACCGCAAATCAAACGCAATCTACTTGACCAAAGCTTCTGTTTCTCTGGTTTGTATGGGAGTAATAGAGGATTTCATTTGTTTATGTATGCAACAAATGATCAGGTTGTGAAAGTTTCCAACCAAGCCATATCTCTGAAGGCTAGTGCTGAGATGAGCGAGGACCCATACTCGCAACAAGCTCGCATAGATGGGTTGTGCCATATCGTGTAAATTCAAAATGAGAAACTGTCTGATCAGCCCCCCGGGGTCCAATTGGGTAGTATGTTTACGTTCTACCTGTGAAGCCCCGGGTTCGATTTCCAGTTGGGTCCATGGATTCGCGCACTGGTGTTGAGACCCAACCAGGTCAAAACACCTGTCCAGTGCTTCCCAGCTTTTTAATTCATGCTTCATTCGTCATGTATATACATGACGAATTCACCTTTGAAACCTAAAGTCTTTCACATTTGTAACTCCTAACGTGAAATACATCCTAAAACTAAGTTCAAATATAACTTAATCATAATTGAAATATGCCGCGAATGGAAACCTGTCAACGAATAATGAAGTTAATTTCATCGCCAATTAAATCTTTTTGATCTTAAAGAGCTATAAGAGAGATGGGCAGATTAAAATGCAGGTTGTGAGGTATGACGAGAGTGTGATGAAGTTCCGCATGATGCAGTAGAAACTATATGTCATGCACAGCAAATGATGTAATCGGGAAGGGACATTGGAAATAAAATTTTAAAAAAATATTTCTCAAGTTTGTGGTTGTTGATAATGGATAAGGGAGGGGATTGGGAAGAGGGTGGATGCGTAACTAATTATTTTATTTTTGTCTCCAGTGTCCCTTTCCGATTACATCACCTGCTGTGCATGACATATAGGTTCTACTGTATCTTACGTAACTTCATCACACTCTCGTCATATCCCACAACCTGCATTTCAATCTGCCCATCTCTCTTACATTCCCCATTTGACTTTTATGCTCTCACCCCCTTCCACGACTATAGCATTGATTATCACTAGCCTTGCCATATTGATTGATTTTAACTGACTATCCTTCGGATCAGCTCATCGATTCAACCGTAAACTCGGAATCACTACACTTGCGTTTCGCCCTTATTAGAGCTCAGAAGTAGTGCACACCTACGGTCATAAACGTTTGCTCTGTTTGCTCGCCTTCGTCATCATTTATAACTGAAGCAAGCCTTTCCCGAGGTTAATTTCAAAAGGAAAGATCATATTGCAATACTGCACGATATATGTCCAAGACGATTTCGCTGCGATTCAACATGGTGCATACTGCAGAAAATACGATGTTTATAT